GGGTGGAAAACATGAGTTTTCATAAACTCATATTTTTGTATGTGTATTTTCGTGTGCTTAAAAAAATTGAAAAATTTCAAAAATTTCAAAAAAAATTCATTTTGTTATGTGAGTGTTGGCCTAGCTGACAATGATTAATGTATTGAATCATAAATTGATCTATGAATGGTGAATAAGTTGCATGCTTATATTAAATATTGCGTTATCGTGTGAAATTTGATATATATTGAGTACATGAATTAAGTTAAGTATTGTGTATAAATGTATTGAATTCATAATTGGATATGTTGAAATAGTGGACCATAGATGCTAAACTCAAAATCACAAAATTTTACATTCTCGGACCAAATTTAGAATAGTTTGGAGATTTTCACTGTTGTGGGAAGATATCGAGATAAATGGAGATTCCATGTGTGGAAAAAAATTTCGTGTGAATTGTCTAATGTCAATATGATGAAATTGGGTGAAAATCTCAAGTTAAATGTCGGTTTTCTTAAATTGGTATTTAATAAGGGATATTGTACTAATCAAGGCATAAAAAATAAATTATTTTATCTGAAAATTTCTCTTCGTAGCCTTTATGATTCGAACAATTAAGCCTGCGATTATTTTTAAAACCTTGTACCCTATGATCATCTAATTTGGGAGCCATTAGCCGAAAGCTTGTTGCATGGGTCATTTAAAAAGTTTAAGGGTGAGAATGTTTCAAATAAAAAAAAAATGTTTGAAATTTTTTTTATAGAAAGTCAAAAAAGCAGGTGTATGAAATAAAAGACGTATAAAAAATACCTTAGTTATGTTTCAAACACTTATTTGGGAAAATTGGACTTTTGATAAGGGATTATTAATCTAATTAAGTCTTAGAAATTGAAGCAATCAAACTATGGAGAATCCCTGTTTATTGTCATATTGACTAACAATTAGTGAGATTTACCTAAACTAGAGAGGTGATGATAGTATAAAAATCAACCTTAGTTCACGCATGTGAAAATGGTGAAAAAAATAAGTTTGAAGGTGTGTGAAACTTACAAGTGATGAAAGAATATATTTGACCANCCGAACACTTGTTTAAGAAAATTTGACTTTTGATGAGGGATTATTAGCCTAGTTAAGTCCTAGAGATTGAAGCAATCATATAGAGAATCCTTATTTATTGACATATTGACTTGCAATTAGTGAGATTTACCTAGACTAGAGAGGTGGTGATAATATAAAATTCAACTTTAATTCACACACTTGAAAAGAGCGAAAATAATAAACTCGGGGGCGTGTGAATCTTACGAGTGATGAAAGAATATATTTGACTATTGAGGGTCGGGAATTGAAACAACTTATAAATTCAAAATGCTATGCTTAATTCTTCACATACACATGTCGATTTTACATTGCAAAAGTTGATTTTAATTTTTGTATTGTGATTTTGAAGTTGTGATTAGATTTAATATTATGATTTCAATCCTGAGATAAAAAGTCAGGTTAGCCAGTTAAATCTTTTTGCTTTGCTTGATTGACTGACCACCAATTAGGTAATTAACATTGCATGTTTGTGTGTTTATTAGGTTTTAGTTTTGTTTGAGGACAAACAAAAAGTCAAGTTTAGGGGTGTGTAAGTGTAGTTTTTATACTTATTTGTGTCACTAAATCATGATATTTTATTGTTTTTTAAATAAAATTCTACCTAATTTGTGATAAATTGTATTTTGTAGGTAAAACTTTATGATTAATGAAAATTGAAGAAAAAAAAATGCAAAATAGCAGAAAAATGGCAAAATTTAAAGTACGAGGCCTTGGAAGCAAGCAATCAATTAGGCCTCAATTTGGATTTCTAATTAGATTTAGGGAAAAATTCATTTATCCTACTTTATCTTTACCCTATTTCAAAAATAACAAAACAACTTTCACATTTCAAAAATCAGATTTTTTGACCTATACATACACATATTTATAAATATTTATTTATATATTTAAATATATAAAAAGATATAAATAA